CAAAATACTCTGTTGAGGAGATTTCCGTATCTAAATGCCGTCTTTCAAAATGGCTGACATTTCATTATTCTCAGTGGAGTTTAGGTCATAATTCAAGTAATATTTCCTTCCCAGTTAGCGGGCCACTTTGGGAGACAGGAGCACTCCTGTGAAGGCAGAGAATACAGGCTGTTTCTGAAGATGGGAGCTGTTTCACTGACATGGTGTAGTGGCTATTTTCGGAGGATGTGCTGCCTGGTCTAGATGCTCTCTGTAATGCAAAGACAGGCAACAGTGAGCATATTGTTGATAAGAAGAATCTGAAAGAACCTAGTGAAGCTGCAGATCTGCACGTGTACTAGGGGAGCATAGGCTGGAAGGAGAAAAGGAGCTGAATGGGAATGTTGAGGAGGAAACAGTAGAGCCTCTAGGATGGATACTTCGGAGCAGAAATAGGTGCCATAATCAAGAACTAAAGGTCAGCAAAAACTTTTCTCCTGTTATAAATAGGACTGATAGACCAAACATCTATTCCAGAGTGTACCAGTGTTCCATTATAGCCAATAAGCATGCTAAAAGTGTTGTACAGACAGATGTATATAACCTGATATTAGTCTGATCAGGTGCTACAATAAGCCAAAATATAAACTAAGGCATACCTGCATACAGTAAAGTGGATGGCACAGTTCAGCTTGGCTGCTATGTGGAACTTTGCTACTAAAACCTTCTCTTAATGTCTCGTTCCAGGGGGTGGGGGGACTGTTTTTCGTTGAGGAAAAAAAATTGACTTTCTTCCATTTATGTTAATAGACATATAAAATATTCTTTAACCTGTTGTTTATGTATCACTGAATCATAATAGATGCATGAGAAACTTTACACTTTAAAGTTTAATTATATTTTAATTTGGTAGCTCCTTAACCTCCTTAATAATCCAAACTGTTGCAACATCTGTCTGTGCACTTGTTTATACGAAGTGTAGCACTACATGATGGGAGTTTTTGCTCATCCATAATGATTTTCCTAATAATAAAAATCTCTTAGAAAAGTCTGATGTCCCTAATTGTTTCTGTGTGATCTGATGAGCAAATGCCTTTTTCTTTCTTGTTTCTTCTGTTTTTTGATTAACTACAATAAGTGTCTTAAGGGCTTTTCCCATCATTCCTGTCCTAACAGGCCTTTTATAACCACCTGAGGCTTAATAGAGGAACTTCAGTTTGAAGGATAAGAGCTTTCTTTGGCAATATCGGGAAAGAGTGGTACAAAATAAACCCTTTTTTTTACACATAGTCCAGTGATCACACAAGTGCTGTAAGGGCTAAGTGCAACTTCTAGCAGTCCCCATGCTGTGAATTAGATGTGATACATTCCTCAAGGCAGAAACAAGGCAGAAACTGTTCTTTTCTGGTTTTTTTTTTTTTTACCTTTTCCAAGGATGACCACTAATTTCTGCATCTCCTACTACCACAGGCTGGAAGTACTTGAATGATCATAATAAAACTTACTTTGTTCATGACTTTGTCATTCCTTTTCTTGGTCCCATTCCTTCCTAAGCTGGCCTCCAAAATTTCCTTAGATCCTCGGACAGTATCTTATTTCTCTGTGTTTGTTCAAAATGATTAAGGTACTCTGGGATACTCTTGTCAGTCCTGGGCTTGCCGTGTTGTGGCATGCTGTCATGTATCTTCTTCAACACTGTCAGTGACTTCCAGTTGGCAGATACCCCCTTGGTGTGCTGCAAGTGCACAGCCAGGGTTAAATGCCTGGAGCTAGCCAGACCCTTCAGAAACATTCCTTCAAGCCAAAACTCAGTTTTAAAAGATGAAAAATGTTCTCAGAGGCCACGTGTTAAATCTAAGATGTCCAGCGAGTCCAGGAATATCTTCAGGTTCCTTCTCAGAGAATGCTGACTGGACTTACTGAAATTATAGGCAGTCCTTTTAGCAAGTCTGAAATATTATCATGTATCAACACTGCTGTTCAGTAATGGTACATCCAAAAAGACTGTGAAGTCTTTTAACTTTTTATTTAAAAGTCCTCTATGGATTTTGGTTCTCAGAATGCCGTGAGAGAATGGTGGATGTCAAATGGCTTTACTTTGAACAAACAGTATTTTTTTTTTTTAAAGTCACTGGTAAGACCTGGAAAAAATTAAACAAAATACAGCAAAGTCACAGAAAATCAAGTAGAAAACTTTCTGGAGTTTTTAATTTTTCTGTCCTAAAATGTGTGGGAAGCAAAGCTATCCACTTATATACATTGTTCCCTAAGTGGCAAGGGACAGTCAATAGAACTTGGCTAAATTTGCAACAATTGTGAGCTACATTTTTTCAGCTTGACTACTTTATAGTTACTATCTCACTGAATTAGCATTTTGGACTCTAATGGTAATTTGTCTAGAATTTTAAGCATTGTATCAGATACTATTCTTAAAATGGAAGTATTACTCTCAAGAAAAACTCTGCAGTTAACGTTATTTTCAAGACTCTGATACATGCTTACTAATCAGCTGGCAGAACTGAGTATAGCTATATTCAAGGCTATTAATATTTGTCATTAATCCAGTAATGTTATAAAAAAATCTAAGCTTCCTGTAAATCTGTCATTTTTCCTTCTTGGATTTTGCTTCAATTGTGACAACAAAGTAAAAATAATTTGGAAAGTAAGCAGGAAGAAAGAGTGTTCTATTCATCTCTGTTCGATTCAGGTTTGGGCAGAGGCAGTTGTGGTTGTTGTCTTGAAATCTGGCCAAAACATGTATTATTCATTTTTCCAAAGATATTCTCTTGATACTTTGGATTAGACTGTAAATAATTGGATATACTTCAGCTTCTTCAGATCTCTTGGAAAAAACAAAGGAAAGGATGGACCTATCAGAAAGTAAAAGAATTCATGAGCACATGAGCATGGTTTTTCAGATTTTTTTTAATAATATTTTCTTTATTTTTACTCTACTTTCTTCTAACAGTTATTTAAATTCTGTATGTGGCAGGCCAGACTCAAACCACCTTCCAGACTGTTTTCTGAACAGGGGTATTATCCCAATTCCCTCTTTCACTGTTCAATTTGATCATGTCTTTATCTCCCAGAACTGTAAGACCTGTATTATTATACTCCAAATAATATTTATTCTTACAATTCATTTTTTTTTTCTTTCTGTATTGTGAGGTAAGAGTTATTATCTAAAAATGAAGCCCTGGCAGTCCGCAAACTTCTATGTTTGGCACAGTGTTCATTCTAACTGATCCAGATATTATTTTGTCTCCAAGATTATCTAACTTCAACCTTCAGCCTCTTCAACTGCTTTATATTGGACACTTTCGGTTGGCATTTTGCTGGTACTTCTGTACGTAGGTTTGTTAGAGATATAGCGTCCTTCAAGTAATACAGTTCATATTGATCTCTTATATGACCCTGTGGCCACAAATATGAAGGTTGGCCCCTTGTATTTGTCACACATCGTTTCTGAGTTGAATGGAAATTAATGTTCTTTCCTTTGTCCTTCATGTTTTATCTAGACATGTCTGTTGATTTGTACCCCTACTCTTTTTTTAATCCACACTGATAAAGATCTGTAGTATGCACTAGGGAACCTCCTACTGTCACTTGTTGGACCACCATATGTTTCAAGATCTCATGACAGAACAGATTGAAATGTGTATTCTTGTACTGAGTGACGTTACTATGAAAGTTAGACTCTATCTGGTCATCTGATAGACTTTTGAGGTCTGTGAGTACTTCTTTTCTGTATCAAGAGATTTCTCTTCAGTTTTGCCATTCAGAGGAAAGAGGGAAGCCAGAAATATGCATTTAATGCATATCAATTCCTGTGCACGTGTACATTGCTGATGCCAGTGCAAGTGTTTTGGTTTTTATGATAATGTGACTTTCTGAGAAGATTATACCTGTTGGGAGGGATGGGATCCACCTGTCTAAAAGAGAAAGGGCAATCTTCGGCAGCAGGCTGGTCAGTTTAGTGAGGCTGGCTTTAAACTGAAGGATTTGGGAGGTGGGGTCCAAAATAGCCATGCTTATGCCATTGCAGTTGACGATAGAACAAGCCAGGCCAACCAAAACAGTGACCAGCACTCCTTAACTGTCTCCTGTGAGATGAGCCAGAAGGCCAACCACCTCAAAGGTCTATACAGCTATGGGGGATCCTCTTGCATCCCCCTAGGGAAACGTTTATTTTCTGCTCTCTTTTCTTCTTTCTTAATTCATTAGGGTTCGTTGCTGAATGAAGTGGGTGCCCTGGTAATGGAGGACACTAAATAGGCTTAGTTAATAAATACTTTCTTCAGTCTTTACTGCTAAGACTGCCCTTCTGGAATTCCAGACCCTGAAAATAAGAGTGTTTGAGGAGAGAAGGACTTTCCCCTGTTTGAGGAGGATCTGGTCGGCGATTGGCTAGGCAAACATGACACACACAAATCCAATGGGATGCACCTATGAGTGCTGAGGGAGCTGGCAGAAGTAATTGCCAACCTGCTCTCTATCCTCTTTAAAAGGTCATGGAAGATGGGAGAGGTGTTTGAGGACTGGAGGAAAACTGATATCATTCCAGTCTTCAGAAGGGTCAAGAAGGAAGAGCCAGAAGACTACTGGCCAGTCAGCCTTACCTCCATTTTCGGGAAGGTGTTGGAGCAACTTATTCTTGATATCACCTCCAAGCAAGTAGAAGAGAGAAAGGATATCAGAAATAGGCAGCATGGCTTTGCAAAGGGGAAATCATACTTGAGCAATGTGGCAGGCTTCTATGATGTCAGAATCAGCCAGCTGCATAGATGAGGGGAGAGCAGTGGATGTTGTATACTTTGATTTAATCAAGGCTTTTGAAACTGTCTCTGATAACATCCTCGTGGATAAGTTTACAGAGTGTGGGACATGAGTGGACAGTGAGATGGATTGAGAACTGACTGACTGGCAGAGCTCAAAAGGTTGTGATCAGTGGTGCAGAGTCTAGTTGGAGGTCTGTAACTAGAGGTGTTCTTCAGGGGTCAGTACTAGGTCCAGTCTTGTTCAACATCTTCATCAGTGACCTGGAGGAAAGGATAGAAAGAACCCTCTGCAAGTTTGCTGATGGCGGAAAGCTGGAAGGAGTGTCTGACACACCAGAAGGCCGAACTGTCATTCAGCAAGACCTGAACAAGATGGAGAGTTGAGCAGAGAGGAACATAATGAGCTTCAACAAGGGTAGTTCAGAGTACTACATCTGAGGAAGTATCATCAGTACTGGTTAGGGACTGACCTACTGTGAAGGAACTCTGCGGAGGACGAACATGGGATGGTCCTGGTGGACAGCAGGTTGACCATGAGCCTGTAGTAACCATATGCAGTTGAGGCCAAGAAGACCAGTGGTATCTTGGGGTGCATTTAAAAGTGTGTGGCCAGCAGCTCAGGGAAGTTTGTCCTCCCCATCTTCTCTGTCCAGGTGAGGCCACATCTGGAGTAGTGTGTGTCCAGTTCTGGACTCTCAATTCAAAAAAGACAGGGATCTTCTAGAGAGAGTTCAGTGAAGGGCCACAATCATGATTAAGGGACTGGAACATCTCCCTTGTGGGGAAAGATTTCTCTTATTATGTCGCTGTGGGAGGGTGACAGTGCACTGGAACAGGCTACCCAGAGGGGTTGTGGAGTCTTCTTCTCTGGATATATTGAAAACCCCTCTGGACTCTTTCCTGTGTAACCTACTATAGGGAACCTGCTTTAGCAGGGGTTTGGACAAGATGACCGTTAAAGGTCACTTCCAACCTCCTACTATTCTGTGACTCCGAAAGGCTGAAAGACCTGGGACTGTTTAGCCTAGAGAAGACTAAAAGGGGAACATACCAGTGCTTTTAAATATCTAAGGGGCGGGAGTGAAATGGTTGGGCCAGGCTCTTCATAACAGTGCCTAGCAAGAGAAAATAGTGCAATGGGAACAAACTGAAACACAGAAAGTTTCATACAAATATGAGGAAGAACGTTTTGAAGTCTGCTTCTCCAAAAATATTCAGTACCCACTTGGATGCTTTCCTGTGTAAGCAGCTTTAGGGAACCTGCTATAGTAGGGAGCTTGGACTAGATGATCTCCAGAGGTCCCTTTCAATCCCTACAATTCTTTGATTCTGTAAAGTAAAAGCTGAGCACTTGGAATCACTGTCTTGAACATGAACTAAACAGTTAGGATGATTACGTTGAAGAAGTTTTGGCTACAAAGTAGTAGCTAAGTACTTCAGCTCTGAGCAGAAATGGGGCGCACTGAGGCCATGTCATCCATAGAGATCACTGCTCTGGTATTTGTCTGCTGACTTTGTGATGTACCAGGCAAAACAGAATGCAGGCAGAAGTTTGCAGGGCACTGAAGATTTTCTAAGGGCACCAGTTTGCCACTAGTCTCAAGTATAAATCACTGTTTTTTTCCACAGTCTACACGGTTCATTCTTTAGTTCGATTTCTCATTCATTTTAGCAAATTAAGAGCCCTTAATTTTCCTCTTAAAAAACTGGTGGGATGTAAATGAACTGCTGGTGAAAGATACGGATATTAAAATTTTGTTGTGTTTTAATTGTTTCCAATAGGCAAAATATATTTTAATAAATATGATCACAGATCGTTCCACTAAAATTTCCAATAATGTGTTACTGAGCTTGATGAAGGAAATATGAAGAGACATAAGTCTCTATTATTGGAACTTCAGATTAAGCAGTATATATATATTTTCTCTTCTGATCAGTCATTGTAAAATTTGACTTAAAACACTTCAGAATGATGGACAGTATTTAGTGATCAATAGAAATGAATTGAGGCTGTGATCCCGGCAGCACAAAGTAAGCAGTCAGATGTAACAGTTGTGACTTTTATAAATAAGAAGGTGTGATCTAGCTATAAAACCTGGAAGCCAGAAACTTGTAGATGTTCCACTGCCTTCCTTAGCAGCTGTTAAGTTTAACTTCTAGTGAATATAAGTAAACTCTAAATTAGAATGCATTTAATAGGCTGAAGTGATTTGTAGAATTGTTAGAATTGTTCCACATGTATAGTTCTTTTACTAGCAAGAACACTAGTTACTTACCAGATTTCTTGTATCGTTACCTACTTATACAGAATTTTGAAGGCAAAATATTACACCACAGCTTTGTTTGTTATTCCATCTCCTGTCTCAGAACACTGAGCTGTGCGTTATGCGTCAAAACATGTACTGTTCTCTCGGAGTTCCTAGCCCAGCAATGCGATGTAATTCATTATGCCCTGAAGATAAACAGTACCTCTTGACCTTTCCAAGAAAAGTTGCAATATTTTCTTATTCCAGAATGTAATATTGTACTGAGCTGATATCAATGTGATAAGATAAATGTTTCCTTTTCTAATGTAAACCAGAGTGCACTACATTTATATAAAAGTCTTGGGGGATGCCTAAAGCCTCCAGATAAGAAGGAGCATTTTGGCTATTGTAGGTCTGCATTTTTGAATGCTCAGTCTCAAAGCACTGGGGACAAACTGCAACCAATCTTGAAGAGGATAGCCAAGATTTTCAGAAGTGAATAGACAGTTGGCTTTTATGTTGTCCAGTTCAGAATTATCCTAAAGAATTTTCAAACAAATTCGAAAGTATATGATACATTATCATGAAGTGTTAACACTTCAATATTAGGGTATTTGGAGATGTCCTCTTTCCTAGGTGCTAATGCAGAATCCTAATCTCTTCTTTCCTGGAAAATTTCCCTCCCAATGCTCGTTTATCTTAGTATGTTAAATGTTTTTGTATGCAAATCAGTACTGCATCACATATGTGGCATGTAAAAAAATTTCTGCTACTCATGTGAGTAGAGCACTCTGAAAGTAATGCCTCCTATTTATTTCTTTGGAAACCACAACAGATACAAAGAGCATAATAACACTATCCTATAGAGTGAATTTTTCAGCGACAAAACACTATTTTTCAACATAGTCACTACCATTAGCTTTTGCATTTTTGCCAGCAGTGAGCAAGAGCCTACATGCTGCGCTCATAAAAATCTGTATCAGCAGAGCTGACCATTTCACAGAGACTGTAGTGGTGTCTTTGCTAGGAAAATGTCATCTATACAGTCCGTCTTTCATTGGCTTAAACAAATGGAAGTTAGAAGGCTCTAAATCTGGGCTATATGGTGGGAGTGGTAGGACAATCCAGCCAGGATGAACAATGTACTCCATGGTCTTCAGACTGATATGGGTCCTGGCATTAATGTGTTGCAAGAGAAAGGTTGTTTTCTTCTCTGGCCCGACTCTGGAAATTGGAGCCTTCTGCTTAGTCAGCATTGCAATGTAGCAATCAGAGTTGATGGTTTTTCTGGGTTCCAGGAAGTCCAGAACAATCACCCCATTCCTATCCCAAAAGACAGTGCAAATCACTGTACCCACTGAGAGATGTGTCTTGAACTTTTTCCTCGATGGGGAACTCACATCTTGCTTCTCCATGGGCTGCCGTTTTGACTCTGGCTCATAGACCACATCTTGTCGCAGTAATGATGCAATGCAGGAGAATTGTCACCTTCAGCCTTGTATTGTTTCAGTAGGTCCTGACAAACCTGCATACAGTGTTCTTTCTGTTTCTGCTCACATCCACTGATTGGTTTCCATAAACTGTCAGTAAGCATCAGTGAATGCCAATGGGTGCAATTTTTCTGCTTGCACAAATTCAGTGACACACCTCTGCTTCATGCACACTTCCATGTCAGATGCCATTCTGTCAGACTGCACCTCTGCTGAACAGACAATTTCAAACATTTGATATAAATTTGATTCAATGGGGATTAAAATACAAGAGAAAAGAGTAAAGAACAGCAGCAAGAAGTCATGAAATATCATTAAATCAGTCTAATTCGACATACACATACATGTTAGTGGCATTTAGGTCTGGACTTCCTGTTTGTTAATTTGCCTTCATTTAAGTTTATCCTTTATTTAAGCTTATCCATAGCATTTGGAAGGAGGCCAGATCAAGTTCTGTATTAAGAAGCTAACTGAAAAGAGCAAGTTTTGAGGGATGATTTTAAGTTCTTGAGCAAAATGATAACATGCAGGAAGATGAGGCTGCCACGTAGGTCAGCATGAGAAAAAACTTGGAGTCACCCAGGGAAGAAGACCATGAGCAGAAAAGGAAAGCTGACGTTATTAAGAAAAAAAAAGCTCTAAGATGAGGTTTTTCAGAGATCAAACTGTCTAAGACTTTGGAGAATATAATACAGAATTTGAATTTCATTTGAAAACAATTCATATGTTTGCCAGGGCACTAAACAGTGTATGAAGTAGACACTCGTCATACTAAAACAGAAATAATTTTAAGCCAGTGAGTTTTAGAAGTAAAAATAATATTGCAGTTTTGTGTTTGCACATGTGCAATCGTGTATCTTATTTACAGTTTTCTCATCATGAATTTATCACACGTGTGACAGCGTATGCAGCTGCAGTAAAGGCAGTTCAAAATATTGTTCAGATTTAATGGAAATTTCTAGAATTTGTATTTCATGTACATATTATATACATATATATGTAATTAAGTTTATGTACTCTGTATCTCATTGTACAGAAAAAGAATATAGTAGGGCAGAAAGAGCATAAATGCCTTTGCAGAGTATTTGCTAGGCAGTCTGTAGCTTCTCTCCTCACCGGGAATAGTTATATGATCTCTATCAAATTTGTTCTACAGCTGTTACTACCTCCTAGCATATAAACAGATGGGTAGGATTTCTAGGAGACAGATGCCGGTCTCACTAAAAGGACTGCTCTAATTGGCGTTATCAGAACTAGAAATGAAGACTGAGTGAGCATGGAAATAGAATTATTTTTCCACATTTCAAAAGGAGGCAGCAAAAAGGGCTTAGATTCATTTATTTGGTGCTGCAACTTACTATGCCTAACTTCCCCTGAACATTGACAAAGGGTATTTTAAAGTGGCAGATCATCCCTCTAGCATCTTATGTTAACAATAAGCTCACAGAACAAGATGGGGCTGGGAAAGTGTAATGGCTGTCCAGAAACATTTGTATCTCGCTGGAGG